TAATTTACTTTGCAACATCCCTACTGATGTTAAACAGACTTAGATGTTATACGATTGATTGTCTAACATTGCAGTTGTTACTGGATGAACAATTACATTCTATTAACAAAAAACAAAAATAGAAGTGGCTGGAACACTCAGCAGGTCAGGCAGCAGGTCAGTATGGAGAAAGGAAAGTGAGTCAATGTTTCGGGTCCACGACAAAACCCCGGCTTCACTTGGACCCCGCCACCAGACCCCCTACCCTCCCTGGACCTGTTCATTGAGAATCTTGTTGTTGTTGTTGTTGTTGTGACATCGGCCGTGTCCTCTTCTCCTCTCCCTTCTTCCACTCAAATCTTTCTCCTTCCGAATGTGCTGCACTCCTCTCTCAGGGCCAATCCTGACATCGTCTTGGACTCAAAATGTTGACTTACTTTCCTTTCTTCATAGATACTGCCTCAACTGCTAAGTGTTCCCAGCCTGTAGCTGGAGTCCTGTAGCTCAGTGGTTAGAGCACTCGCCTTGCAAGCGAGAGATCTGGGTTCAATTCCAGGCAGGGCGAAACCTGGGGCAAGTTTCCTTACTCCACACGCCTAATAATAATCCCTCCAAAAACAAAAACAATAATAAATTGGTCATTTTCAATCCACGACTGTTTGTGGGAAACTGCTGTGCGCAATTGGCTGCGTTTCGCCCACAAATATACAGTCAATTCACTTTACAGCATATTCTGTGAAGCGTTTTGAGACGTCTAGAAGACGTGAAAAGCGCTATATCAAAGGCAAGGATTATTAAAATTATAATTATTAGCCATTTCTGTTTTTGTTTTCAGATTTCCAGCATCTGCAGTATTTTGTATTTTGTTTATAATTACATTTTATTGCCTAACTGTCTGGGTTTGCATGTTTCTCATTTTTCTTGTACCTTTTCCCTGTCTTGTGAGGATTGAGCATGGTCCTTTATAGTTATTTTTGTCACTTCCTTCCTTAATCTCAGTCTATTTGTTGCAAACTCTTTTAATTGGCTTCTTTCCTCGCAAAAGCTATTGCCGCACTACAACTTATTATCAGAAACGCAGATCTTTCCCAACTCAGTAGTTTATTGATATTTATTTGCGCCTTGTCAATGTTACACTAGGTGGAAGTAGCCTGATGTGTGAAACCGATGTGCGTATCTTCACTGACAAAAGGAGTAAATGCAGTGTTACTGCACTGCATCACCACTGTCCTGGCCTATGCAGACCTTTCTGTAAATATCAGTGAAAATGCAATATCACTTAAACAAAACTCTAATACTGAAGTGAAGCATGTAAATTGTATACTAACAATGCACTATAACAACAACAACAACAAGATTCCATTTATAAAGCGCCTTTCACGTCAGGAGGACGTCCCAAGGCGCTGCACAGTTGGGTCATGACCCGAGCAGGGGGGAAATGGTCAGGGTGAGGGGAGGGAAGGGAGGGAGCGAGGAGGGGGAAGAGAGTCGAGAGGGGAGCTGAAGGCACGGTCAAAGAGAAAGGTTTTGAGACCGGCCTTGAAGGAGGAAAGGGAGGAAGCGGCGAAGGCACTGGGGGATGGAGTTCCAGAGCCTGGGGGCTGAGAGGCTGAAGGCCCGACCACCGATGGTAGGGCGGTTGGGGCGGGGGACGTGGAGCAGACCAGAACCAGAGGAACGGAGGGTACGGGCAGGTAGGTAGGGGGACAGCAGGCCGGAGAGGTAGGAGGGAGCAAGGCCGTGAATGGCCTTGTAGGTGAGGATGAGGATCTTGAAATCAACTATATAGCTTTACTTTGGTATATTGGCTTGTCAGAACAGTCGTGAGAAGTCAATATACAAGTGCTGTAACAATGTTACTTGGTGTGTTTGTGGAAATATAAAGCAAACAGTAAAAATGATCCTGTTGAAATTGCAATAAAGGGCCTCTACCTCTGAAATCTTTCAAGACTCTGAATTCTAATAAAGGTTAGAATTTTTACATCGTAAGTGTCTTATTTAAATATCAGTAAATATGTTATACATTCTTTATTAATTGTTGTAATGAAGATCAGCTGAATTCTGACAAACCAGAGACTGAATGTCAAACATTCAGTGCAGGTGGCAGGATAGTGAGGGTAGGCAGGACACAAATCAATTGCAGTAAGTAACTGGACATGAGCTTATGATGAGGTTTCAGCAACACTCACCATTCCTACATTGACCATTGCCAGGTTCCCAACATTTAAAATGTTTTTCAGCTTCCTGAATGGTTCAGTGGATACAGAAGAATATGAGTAGATTGTTCAGCTCATCAAGCCTTTTCCACCACTTTATGATATCATGGCTGATGTGCATGTTAATACCATTTGCATGCCCTTTCACCATATCCCTTGATACCACGGTCTACCAAATATTCACCTACCTCCCTGTAAAATATTTCAATTAACCTAGCTTCTATGGCCTTTGGGAACAATTAATTCCACATTTGTATGGGAAACAAAATGTTTCTATCTGCTTTGTCAAATCATTTTAAACACTTCAATCAAATCATAGCTCAACTTTCTTACCTGAAGGGAATATAACTCAACCTGTCATATTTTAGCCCTTCAGCCCAGGTGCTATTCTGGTGAATATGTGCTGTACACCTACCAAGACCAGAACATCTATCTTGAGGTATGGCACCAAATCTGAACACAATGCTCCAGATTAGCTCTCTGTACAACTGAAGCATTGTTTCTTAGCTTCTTTGTATTCTTGAGATGTATGTCCTTCCTCTGTGTGGTACAGACACAGACATGCACAACAAGAAACTCCAAGATTCAATTCCTGCTGAGACAGTGGATTCCAATTGGGTGGCCCTAACCATCTTTGGAGAAAGAGAGAAATAAATGAGTCAGGGATTGCATACAGGCAATGCCTACTGGAAAGTCTGTGTGTCTACAGCAGCCAAAAATAGGGCTTCCCAGGTTGAAATAAATTGCTGATGCTGAACGTCTCACTGATGAATGCTGACCAGTCCCTCCGTCTAGTCCTCTCCCTCGCCACCCACCTCAAGACCTTCCTCTTCGACCATGCTTTCGATCTCCCTGCTTTCCCCCCTGCCCTCCACCCTCCTTCACCCCGACCCCAGCTCGGGTCCATAACTCTGTCTGTCCAGCGCTTTTGGACGTCCTCCCGACGTGAAAGGCGCTATTGGGTGAGGTACTGGAGGTTGTCAAGGTTGCACCTGAAGACCTTCCTCTTCGACCGTGCTTATGGTCACCTCCCCCGGGTGGGCGTTGTGCATTGTGAAGCGCTCTGAGATGCTTTCCTGCGTGTTAGGCTCTATATAAATGCAAATTGCTGTTTCTGGAGGCTGCAAGCAGCACCTTTAGGAGACTGGAAAGATTTGGAGGGGCCAAAATTCAGGTCACTTTGTAACTGGAAGGAATTGGATAAATAAAGCCCATTAAGATAACGAGATTTGTCATTTTCTGCCAGCATCTCTCATGGTTTTCCCTTCAAAAGATTTTCAAAATAATGTAGGAAGGGCAACTTTCTTTGGAGCAAGGAAAATGGAAGACTTGAATTTTGAACGCAGAAATTCAAATAGTTTCTTTGCTAAAAATGTAACAATACTACTAGAGTACAGCATTTAAAGACTTCTCAGTTTCAGAGAAACAAATTAACATCTTCATATGTTTTCTTCCAATATTGAGAAATTCAGAAAAAAATATTCTGGTACATCAGAAGAACAAAATGGTACGCTGTATGCAACATTGGATCAAATTGTTCTTTGACACAAATTCAGAAAGCAATTGTGAACTGCGCGTAGCTAAAGTTTATATAAGACTGCTGCTTTGCATTGTCCTGCTGAAACTGAATAGTACCACGGCATCTTAATGTCCACTTGGTTAGGCAGATAGGACCTGGGTATAACATCTCATCTGAAAATGCAACAAAAGTTTGTGTAAGTCCGTTGCTTTGCACAGCCCTACAGAATCTGAAGTACTTTGCAAAGGTTCCATTGCACACCAGGCACAGAAACTGCTCCTGAGACAAAATAAAGAAAGCAAACTCCTCAGGAGGAAACAGGCTAGATAAGGAAAAGCTGTTTCCGCTGGTAGGTGTGTCTGTGCCCCGTGGTCACAGTCTTAAGATATCTACCAAAAGAAGCAGCGGACAGTTAGAAGAAATTTTTTCACTCAGCGAGTTGTTCTAATTTGGAATGATTTGCCTGAAAGGGCAGTGAAATCCAATTCGATAACAGCTTTTAAGAGAGAACTGGATAGGTATCAGGGGAAGACGGGTTTGCAGGGTTATGGGGAGAAAGCTGGTGATTGGGGTTAGTGAAAGTGACTTGCTCTGTCAAAGAGCCGGCACAGACTCGATGGGCCGAATGGCCTCCTTCTGTGCCGTAACATTCTATGAATCTATGAAACACCTGGTATACACCATCTTTTCACAATTAGACAGAAGCAGCCATTTGTGATTACTCAATAGTTTAACTCTAGATACTAGAATCTGTTTAACTGAAATGACAACATTATATCTACCCAATGTGATCTATCGATTTTTAAAGATACTGTATATTTTACTCTTGTTTTAAAAAAATGTTCTCAACCACTGCTGACCCCCTAAGGCATGCTTGGTGTTTTTTTCTCTCCCACCCCCCACTCCAAGGTGCATTCACCACGTGGAAGAACAGCAGGTGGACCTTTCACTCAGTGGCGTACTGTGTCAGTGAACAACAAGCCAATCCTGGCTAACGTATTTCAGCAAATAAGTGTAAAGGGCCATTCTGCCTTTCCAAATCCCCTCCATTTTCTTGGAGGACACTTGTCACCATGCATCTTTCTCAAACTGGAATGGTAGGACCAGATAAGCCTGACCCACAGACAGCTACAAAGTCACCAACAATACCACTCTGATCAGCTGGCAGGAGGGAGAATTGGAGCAGCACCAGACCGACAGCGACAAGCTTCCTCCCTCAGAGACGGAAAGAATGCAAACGAGTGCCTCTCTACCCAGCAGCCTGGTTCACAACTGATAGAACTCACCTTGAAAACACATCCAGATGACAGGCACCAATCCTCCCCAGAAACCCCATCTCCTGAAGGGCATCTTTATACCATCGGATACAGGTGCTTCCACTTCCTGTGGATAACAGTAAACCTTCTGTTTTAACTGAAAGATTTAAAAAATGCACATAATTACTGTATTGTGCACTGAAATCTGATGCCTCAATAGGAATTCCTGATGTGCAAATGTAAATTATTCCTCAATAAACTTTCAATGGTAATATCACCCCAGAAAGGATGAACTATATTCCCAGGGTATTTACTGTGAGAATGGAGAAAATATTTGTGAAGGAATGACAGTTATTTTGAGAGAGTCAAGATAAGCTGGGGAGGTTCAGAATGATTGGAAACTAGTAAATGTGCTTCCCATGTTCAGGCTTATCTGACCTCAATAATTGGGAAACCAGTGGAATCAATCATCAGTACAAAACTCAATGAACAGCAGTCAATATGGAAGGGGATAGATATTGTCTGACAAATCTCAGTTTTATTTTGAGGAGGTGACAGCCCAAATTGACAGCGGGAAGTCGTACAAGGTAGATTTTTAAAAACCTTTTTAATGCTACAAAATGGAGGAAAGTCTGCCTGTTCAAGCAGACGTTAAAGATCCCATGGCACTATTCGAAAGAGAAAGAAGTTTCTCCTGGTGTCCCTGACAATGATCCTTCCTCCAAAAAATGGGTCACCCATTCTGTGTGTGCAATTTGGCTGCTGTATTCATCCATCAAAAATACAGTCACAATATTTTACAGCATGTCCAGTGAACCATTTTGGGATGTCCTTCCAATGTGAAAGACCCTACACCAAATGTCAGGATTATTTATTATTTATTAGACATGCCTCAGGAACCAAGCCAGAAGCTCCTGCTGTTTCTTGTATACATTAATTACTTGGATTCACAGTTTCCTGGTAAGTGCTGCATATTGGATATAAAACTAAGAGGCACATGTACTTTTTGGGAGAAATGAAAGTGATCTGGAGCGTTAGACTTGTCATTCTGGACGTCAAAACAGTGAACACAAAAGTATAAACAGTGTTAGCATACAGTGTTAGCAAATCAATTGAGACAATTCCCCAGAAGTCATGTTGAAGCGATACAGTGCTCTGATCAGGACACGTGTACAGAACACTTGAAGTTCTGATCAATACAACATAAAGAAATTGTTCAAACTCAAGAGGCAGTACATAGAAGAGCAAAGAGAGGTTATTCCTTTAAAATTCTCAGTCTTGCCCTTACCTCTGATACAAATGCAATTAGATCATTATTTTCCTTGTGAGAAAAAATGATAATATCAGACTTGCTGCATCTTCTTCCTCCTCCCTTCCCTCCACTCCATCCCATGACTACCTCACTGTCTCCACATTACACTCTTACCTCCATGTTTCTCTTATCCTTTTCCATCCTCATAACTCAAATGAAACCTACCACCACAAAGCTGATGATCACCTAATCACCCCTCCTCCTTCCTCTGCTGGTAACTTTTGTCAACCTGTCTTGCAATTCTGGCATTGTTCCTCCCCACCCTTCAAAAACACCATAGTCACCTACCTTCTTCAAAAAACCTACCCTCAATCTGTCCAAACTCTCCAACTATTGGCCCATCTCCAACCAGTCCTTCCTATCCAAAATCTTGGAAAGCATGTTTCCACTCAACCATGATCCCTCCACTCTCTGCTCAAGCCTCTTCGGATCAATCTGGTTCGATCCTCAGCACTACTATCTCTCTCATATTTGGTCTTGACCAAGGCTGCTTTTCTTCTCCTTCTCCACATTGCCTGTCTCTGTCCCTATCTTACAACAAAAAGCGCCAAAACTTTTGTTCCTTCCCTCCTAACCTTTTTTTTGTTGTTGTTTTCAAAATCACTCTTCACTCGTCTCCCCAGATCCACCTTCCATAAAACTCCAACTAATCCAAAACTTGGTGTCAGCCTGGCTCAGTTAGTGATATTCTCTTCTCTGAAAGTTGGGGGTTCAAGCCCCACTTCAGGTCTTAGAACTCAGTCTAGGCTGACACTCCCAATGCTGGGGGTACACTGCACCATCAGAGGTGTGTCCTCCAGATAAGTCATTAAACCAAGGTCCTGTCTGCCAATCCATAGATCCATAGAAATTCACAGCACAAAACACCATTCGACCCATCATGTCCACGGAAATGGCGGATGAAGATAATGCAGTTGATGTAGTTTATATGGATTTTTAAAAGGCATTTGATCAAGTGCCACATAAGAGACTTGTAAGCAAAATAGAAGCCCACAGTATTAAAGAGACAGTGGCAGCATGAATACACATCTGACTGGGAGACAGGCAGCAGAGAGTGGTGATGAACGGTTGTTTTTCTAACTGGAGGGAAATGTGCAGTGGTGTCCCTCAGGACCACTGCTGTTTTTGATCTATATAAATGACTTGGGTATAGGGAGTACAATTTCCAAGTTTGCAGATGATAGTAAGCTAGGAAAAGTAGTAAACAGTGAGGAGGATAGTAGCAGACTGCAAGACATAGACAGACTGGTAAAATGAGCAGACATGTGGCAGATGAAGTTTAATGTGGAGAAATGCAAAGTGATGCATTTTGGGAGGAAGAATGAGGAGAGGCAATATAAGCTGATGGGACAATCTTACAGGGGGTGAAGGAACAGAGAGACCTGGGGGTTCATATAAATAAATCTTTGAAGGTGGCAGAACAGGCAGATAAAGCTGTTAAAAGAAAGCATACGGGGATACTAGGCTTTATAAATAGGGGCATAGAATACAAAAGTCGGGAAGTTATGATGAACCTTTATAAAACACTGGTTAGGCTTCAGCTGGAGTACTGTGTTCAGTTCTGGGCACCACACTTTAGGAAGGATGTCAAGGCTTTGGAGAGGGTGCAAAGGAGATTTACCAGGAATGAGGGACTTCAGTTATCAGGAGAGGCGAGAGAAGCTAGGATTATTCTCCTTGGAGCAGAGAAGGTTAAGAAGAGACTTAGTAGAAATTTTAAAAATTATGAGGGGATTCAAAAGGGTGAACAAGGAGAAACTACTTCCACTGGCAAGTGGGTCGGTAACCCGAGGACACCGATTTAAAATAGTTGTTAAAAGAAACAGAGGGGAGGGGAGGAGAATTTTTTTCACACAGCGAGTTGTTCGGATCTGGAATGCATTACCTGAAAGGGTGGTGGAAGCCGATTCGATAACAACTTTTAAAAGAGAAGTAGATAATTATTTGGGGAGGACAAGTTTAAAGAGCTATGGGGAGAGAGTGGGGGAGTGGGATTGATTTGGACAGCTCTTTTCAAAGAGCCGGCACATACACGATGGGCCGAATGGTCTCCTTCTGTGCTGTATAATTGTATGATTCTATTATATCCCCCGCATGGCTTCCCCCATCACTGGCGGTTAGGCCTTCAGCCTCTCTGCCCCCACGCTTTGGAACTTCATTCCACATTTCCCTCACCTCGTTCCCTCCCTTGTCTCTTTCAAGGCACATCTCAAGGCCCCCCCCCCACTTTGACTGCGCCTTCGGTCACCTTCCTACCCTCCCTGCCATCCACCCTCCCTGATCCCAACATCCTCCTCCTCGGGTCCAAATCCCTGACTGTCCAGCACCTTGGGACATCCTCCTGACGTGAAAGGCGTTTTACAAATGTAATTTTGTATTGTATTTATCTGGTTACCGTTTGAAGCTAACATGGATTCTACCTCAATCCTAGGGGCAGAGCATTCCATCTCCTAAGTAAAAAAAGTGGATGAAAAAAATTCTCCTAACCTCCCTATTTGCTCGTTTGCGAACTATCCAGAAGGACCTTTAAAGATCCTCTGGCACTATTCGAAAAGAGAAGGGAGTTTCTCCTGGTGTCCTGGCCAACAATCCCCCGGGTAAAATTGGTCAATCACTCCATGGTTGTTTGTGGGACATTGCTGTGCGTATATTGGCTGCACATTCACCTATAAAAAAATATACATTTTGCAGTGAATCCTGTAAAGCACTATCAGATGCTTCCGTGACGTGACAAGTACAATATCAATGCAAGCATTATTTATTATTAGTCAGCCACCCATGTTCTCAATTCTACCAAACTGCACACTCCCTTCACCTCAGACTTCACCAGGCTTTGTTGGCTCCCCATCTCCCAACAAATCAACAGCAACAACTTGCACTTGTATAGCGCCCTCCATGCAGGGTTGCGTCTCAGAGTGCTTAACAGTGGCAGAGCCTGACTCCAAGTCGGGGACGGGGGGGACGGAGGTGGCTGTAAGCAGGGTTGAAAAGAAAGGTTTTCAGGCGGGATTTGAAAAAGGGGAGGGAGGGAGCAAGATGGAGGGATTGAGGGAAAGTGTTCCAGATTTTAGGGCGTAGTGGCTGAAGAAGGCCATTTGATTTCAGCTTTCCAGAATTACAACTCATGTTTCCATTACAGCATTAAACTGTTTCACAAGTGCTCTGGCCTCAACAACCCTTCCATCTCTTGATTATCCTCTGTACAAAGAAAACGTATTTGGGTGTGTCCTAACCTTGTTCTTCACAGTCTTGAACCGATGGTAGGGCCGAGGGTGCGAGGGACGAGCAGGAGGCCAGTGCCAGTCGAGTGGAGATGCCGGGTGGTGGATTGGGGAGTGAGGAGATCGGAGAGATAGGGAAGTGCCAGATTTTAAGGGATTTGAACACGAATGTGAGGATCTTGAAATCGATCAGTTTGGTGATGGGGAGCCAGTTGAGCCTCACCAGAACTGGTGGGAAGTGGGTACGGAGCTTGGTCCAGGTTGGTATGCGGGCGGCAAAGTTCTGAATGAGCTGGGTCTTTTGAATAGTGGAGCTGGGGAGACCAGCGAGGAGTGCGTTTGAGTAATCTCGGCGGGAGGTGAGGCACAAGGGTTTTGGCTGCATTTGGGGTCAGGTATGCTGGGCAATGTGACGGAGGTGGAAGAAGGCAGTACTGGTCAGGGACCGGATGTGGAGGAGGAAGGACGGCTGGGGGTCGAAACGGATGCCTAGATTGCACACTAGTTAGGTGAGTGTGAGGGAGAGCCCAGGGAGTTTGAGGAGTTCAGATCTGCAGCAGTGAAGACGTTAATGGGAGCCAAGGAGTATGGCTT